TATATTTTTGCCTTGAGTTTTAACAAATACTTGTATTTTGGCTTTGTAATTTGTGTGACATGTACAAAGTAGGTGTCCAGGACATGGAGAAGCTGTGAAATTTTCAGTAATGTTTACTACTGAATACTATATTTAAAGTTTTACTGGAGCAAACAGTGAAAGTCTTTATGGGGGCATTTTTATAAAGGGAAAAGGAAGAACCCAGTTTATTTGGGGAGATGTATGTTCTTGCTGCAGTAGACATTGTAAAATAATACACAAGAAAGCAATAGAATGATAAACTGAAATTCATTTCTTTTTGTCAAATACTGTTAGGAAATGCACAGAAAACACCTCTGAAGATTTCAAACAATAATTAATGAGCAATTTACAATATATTGGAGTTTTATCATGCAGTTAGATCAAAGTATAGATTTTAAAATATTCTCAGTTTATAGCATCTGTGTTCTAAAGATGAAATACATGAAATGTGACATTTTAGGAGCTTAAAGGAAAATTAAGCCAGAGAAAATTTATTCACTAAAGAAAATGGCTTCTTTAATAAAATCACTGTTCTGTGGGAAAACTGAAGCTATAATCAACAATATATATATAAAGAGTGTGGAATCAGAGTGCAGTTTAAACAACATCCACAGATAAACTATGTTGACAAAGAAAATGTAGACATTCATATATAATTATATATAGTAAAGATTCTTATATATAGGAATAGAAATACAGGAATAGAGAAATATATATCTTTATATATATGTCTTTACAATAATGAGATGGAGAAGGACCAAGAAAATCTTTGAATCATTCAGAGGTTCTCAAGTTATCTCATGGCAAAGTGTTTTAAAGAGGGACAAACTTCAAAATGCATTATGAATATTTGGAATATTTGTTTTTCAAAAATACAAATGGGGTTCCTGATTGGAATAGGACAGGTATGAAGTCAGGAATGAATTGCATTTTGTCATCTTGATCTTCAAAAGCAAAAAGGAAGAGAAACAAAACCACAAATTCTTATTGAAACACAATTAGGTGACAACTAAAGGGCTGTGAAAGCCAGCACAGAGAAGAGGCAAGTGGAGGGAGGGCAGTTGGCCAACACCGTGGGGTGCACCTTAATATGCACACCCTCAAATCCTGAATGTGTGGAATATACCTTAATATGCACAGCCCAAATGCTGACTGTATGGTGTACACCTTAGTATGAACACCCCAAATCCTGACTGTGTGGGATACACCTTAATATACACACCCCAAACTTTGAATGTGTGGGATATACCTTAATATGCACACCCCCAAATCCCTTGTTTTGCGTGGGTGCCTATGTTGGCAACAGAGATCCCCTGACCTGATTTTGCTCTGAGAAACAGAGAGATGAGGATATACCTTGAATCACACAGCAGTCTTGTTGACAGGAGGCTGTTTTCTCTGTGGCAGTCTGGACACAGACAAGTTGCTATGTCAAGTACTGTATAGCTGAGTTTCATTATTTGAGTAAAATTAAAGTCTAAATAAACTCACAGCATGAAGCTTGTATCTTTGAACACAAAGACAACCCCAGTAGTGGAACCTTCCACATATGAACCTCTTGCAAAAACATCTAGTCCAGGAAAGATTTAGTTACTATGGAGATAAAGACAAAAAAAAAAAAAAACAAGAAAAAGAAAGAAAGAAAGTAAACAAAAAATCTCCCAGGCTGGATAACAAAGAAAATCAATTCTTAAACTGAGACTTTTAAGCAAAGTGATTGGGAACAGTTGAAGATAAAGTATTCCAGGTACTACAAACAAAAGGAGAGGAGGGGTTGTAATCTTCACAATGGGCAAGTTGAATTCAGGCCAAAAATTTCTTAAACAAGACAAATAAAACCCCCTTATATGCTAAAGGATAAACTTTACAGGGCAAATATAATTATTAGAGTTTTTTTTTTAATTTTTAAAATTTATTTATTGATTATAGAGAGAGAGGAAGGGAGAGGGAGAGAGAGAGAAACATTGATGAAAGAGAACATTGAGAGGTCGCCTCCTGCACACCCCCAACTGGGGTCTTGGCCCACAACCTGAGCATGTGCCCTGACTGGGAATCAAACTGACGACCTCTTGGTGCACTGGTTGATGCTCAACCACTAAGCCACATTGGCTGGTCATTATTAGAGTATTTTAACAGCAACACTCATAAGGCAAATAAAATATATTGATTATAAAACATTTTAAGTCATTTTTCAATTTATGATAAATATGTGGAAAATAATCTAAGCAGATCAAACTATTAGACTAAAGAGGAAATTTAAAATAAATTTCTACGTGGAAAACAAAAGATAAGTGTTGTCTATTAGAACTTATGGGATACAGTTAAAATAGTCCATGGAAGAAAATTTATAACTCTTAGTTTGCTTAATAAATAAGAGAATAAAAGTGAATCAATTAAATATTCAACATAAAAATTTTAAGGACAATACAAGTTTCTGTGCATAAGTAAAGCAAAACAAAGGAACTTATTAGCATAGAGAAAAAATAACTGGAAAACAGAAAAATTGTAGAAATCATAAATATAAAAAATTTTTTAAAATGAATAAATAGTAACAGTGTAGTAACACCATTCCAGTGTAACAATACTTTCAAAATTCTGAAGGAAATACTTTTGCTTAGAATTTTATATTCAAAAAATTAAAAGAAAAGGCAAAAGAAAAATTTTACCTGAAAGATGTCAAAAATTTACTTCTAACACACCCCTTCCCCCAGGAAGCTCCTTTGGAGCCCATTATATATGAGAGAAACCAAGAAAAGAAAGATCTGGGGTACTGGAAAGAGGAAACCAAACACAAGAGATAGGCAAAGAAGATTTCCAGGAAGTTGGTAAGGAGAATCACAGGATGAGATTGATACAAAGCATAGAAGACAACTAGCGCAGATTGGAACAGGTGCCCGAGCGATGTCTATGTTGAAGCTGCCACTACCAAGACCCCTTTCACTTTTGTCCTGTAGTGTCAACCAGAGAATGTAAATGAGCCTGGCCAAGATTCTTAGCTCTCTTTGGTTTTTCCAAGTGAGGATAAAATTCTGTTCTCCTCCTTGCCCTGTTGCCTGGAGTAGCTGGTACCATCTGACCCTACCTATAGATGTGTTCAAGTTTGACCTGACTCCTGAGAGATGGAGGTCAGCTACAGCAATCCTAGAAGCATAAAACAGCAGCACAACTCACCACATGCTTTCCTCCTAGTTGGTTCAACCTTAACCCTGTCAGATTCCCCCGTGTAGGAAACCCTCTGCTTCCCATGGATCACTATAGGTTTGCCTCCTGATGTCTTCAGAATGGGTTCTTAAACTCTCCATGAAAAGCTGAAGCCAGAATATAAACAAAAGACTGTTCAGCTCATCTTTTCCTAGGCTCCTTCAACCCTCAACAACACTGCCTTTTTCTTACACATCTAGTCTTATGCTTGCTATTCTGCTTTTAATATTAATCACTTTTCACACTGATTAAAAAATGTAATTGTTGATAGAATAATGGAATAGTTGACTGAGAAACAAATGGTAGAGGTATTAGCCAATGGAATTAGACAAAAGAAAGAGGAGGTAAATTTATCACTATGTTAAGTGATTTAATATTTTAGGTGATGTACCTGGAGCTTCCAAGAGAATCAACTGAATGACAATTATAATCAGTGTGATAACTCAGTAACATGCCTCGGTAGGAAATCCAAAGCTTCCATGTTCTGACATAGAAATATTTTAAAGCTGTTAAGTGGAAAAAAATAAAATAAATAAAATGCAAAATATTGTATATAGGGTGTTATCTTTTTTATAATAGTGTATGTGTCAAATTATTTTTATTTGCTTGATATGTAAAATAAACACTTAAAGCACAAACCAAAAACTAATAAACATAAAACACATTTTGTCACCATTTCAAGGTATAGAGGGTTTAAACCCCTCAATTCTACAAACTTACATATCTTACAATTATAATTTTCTAACCTGTTTAAATTTTCTGAGAATTTTTTAAAGTTTGCAAAGTAAGTTTTGAATCTATTGCTTTAAAAGTGGGGAGACATCTACTGATACAGCAAATACATTCAGCATAAATTTTAGAAAATCAATCAATGGCTTAAAAATACATGGTTTTGGCAAAATGAATTTACCTTGAAATATAAGAGGTACTTACATATCTGCAAAAGGCGCCCTTCTCTTTCATAGATATTTATGTAGAGAGACCCTTTTTGCAACTTTAATTTGTAGGCTTAAGACTTCCCACTCTTGTGGGTTCCTTGCTCCTTTCACGTAATCAGTGGTCTTATCTGGTAGCTCCTACCCCTAGAGTTGTTGGATAATTGATCCTATTTCTAGGTTATAGACCCACTCAAGTTAGACCTCATGACCTCTCCTTTCCACAGTTGAACTCATTTGATGGCTCTATCTTCATTTTCTACAGTAACACATTGTCAGGAATTAAAGACCTCATTCATTCATTCTAGACGCACCTCTTCCTGATTCCTCAGCTCATCTCAACCACTTGCTGTCCCATGAATTAAAACAGTATTTTTGCCCCTGATCATATGTTGATATCCTCTGTAGTGCCCTCCGCTCTCTCCCCCAATTTCTCCCACAACCAATTACAAGCACCCTGCAATTAATTTACACTATTACCTCCATCTTCAATAAACACTTTCTAATTCTATCTATCCCCTTTGGGACGAGCTCTCTTCTTCCCTAGAAATTTCTCTTCTCAATACGTTCAAAAATAGCAAAACTTGGCACCCTGTAGGAGACACTGCAGGTATTTATTCAGTTCTGAAGAAGTGGCTGGAGGTGGGAGACTGACAGGAGTTATTGAAAGAGACAAAAAATACACTATAAAAGCAGATGTCTTGTGAGGGAATTGAGTATGAGAAGAGGTTTTCTTCTAACTAGTAAGAAATTCTGACATGATGTCTATAATATTTAGAGTCAATTCCAAGTGAGTTTGACCTTTGTCCACTAACATACTCTTTATGCGTTTCTTCTTCCCAGGATGTGACAGTCCCTCACAAGCCTGTTTCTCTCCATCCTTTGTATCAGACTAGACTCTATCCTCCTGCTAAGTCCCTGCTGCATTCACAGTCCCTCTCACATGCCGACTGTCTTACCCCTGGACCCTTCAGTCATGTGTCCTTCTCACTGACTGACGAACAGGAGAATTCCCACACCCTGTTTAGTCACAACGCGTTTAATAAGGTGAGAATTCCCTGCTGAAATGAAAATGATTCTGTGCTGTGAACCTTCTTTATGCTTAAATCTTAAAACTTAATTGTGGAGGAAACATACATTAAGAATATTTAATTACATTAAGAATATTAAATATTTGTGTTAATGCACGTGGCTTTACCAAAGAATAATAATTAACCTTGGGAAATTATTAAATATTTGTTTTTCTTTTCAAAGTCATTCCCTGATTTGCATTCTTTATTGTTTCATGTTCTAACCTAGGGTGGAAATCCCAAGACATTTTCTAAAACCTTACAAGATGCCATTATTAATTTATCTTCTGTTCTTAGTTTTATGTTCTTAAAAGGCTTCTTTCAATTGCAATGCCTTGAGCAGGAAGCATTTATAACTTCAGTTAATGGGCAAAGAATACTTAGAATTTCAGCAAGTATCTATAAAATGCATCTAACTGCCTCATAATTTACACTGATGGGATACATAAACAATAATGAGGTGTTCTGTATCTAAAAATATGTATATATATTTAAAAAACAAGCAAAAATATTTATAGTTTGCTTTGGAACACAATCATAAAGGTTCAATTAGAGGCAAGCAGCCAATACCACACCAGGCTTACCTATAAGTGCCCTTAGCTGTTCTGAGGACATCGTGGTGAGTATAGACTCTCAGACTCTAAACATTTCCTCAAAGAACTGACCTGTCAAAATCCATCTGCAATTAAATGATTTTTGAAAATTCGACATATTGTTTAAAAAATTTATTTTTCAAATTTTTTTATATCCTATGAAATGTAGCTCTATACTTAAAAATCAATCAAGGCCATATATTCCAGAATGCTCTGGGACAATATTATTGGGCCCTGAATCTTTTTTTTTTTTGAAAAAAAAATTTGTGAATTCAGTCTAAATATAGACAATTATCTAAAAAGTGAACACAATTATATGAGGAAAAAATTGCTGTTTATATTTAATAGCATCTATCACAACTGAATAATGAACCCTGAATTAAACTTTCAAAATATTCATTTTCTGAAAACAAAATGTTTTTTGGCAGGTTTGGGATGACATTTTAATGATCTTTGTTTGTTTCCTACTTTTGGTCTAGAAAAAAAGAAGTATTTTAGAGAAAATACATTATTTTTAATGATTCTATATTATTTAAAATTATTCCTGGTTTAATGCTTGACAACATCTATGACATGCATTTAGCTCTTAAATAGAATTAACAATTCTGCTAATAAAATACCATTTTCTGATAAATTGTCATCTCTGACTGGGCTATAATTGTATTTTATAGCTATTGATTGCATTAAATAGCTCATTTAAAAATATTTTGGTGGTGTTTTCTGGAACTATTTGGGAAGTATAGAGACAATATTTCATCCATATTTTAGCTTTTGCTTGGTTGGACTGTAAAAAACAATATGAGGAAAACCAGTTGAGGTTGGACAACTATATTCAGTCTGCACAATCTTCATAATAAATTTCATCTTTCAGCATATGAGATTTATTGATATTGAATAAAGAAACATATTTGAAATAATAATAATGTAATAAGAGAATATTTCTTGGAGATTCAATTGCTTAATCTTATACTTCAATTGTTCCTATTAAAATATATAAATTACCCAATTTGATATCTATGTTTTATAAATATTGGGCCAAGAGCATACTAAGTTATCAAGACTTGTCTTTTTTATTTGAAATAGCTTCTTGCCTGCCATTATAAAACATAATCTGACATCCAAATGAACTTTTATCCAATACCATAATGTCATTGCCAGGCCTGACTTCACAGCTTCATCTGCTTGGTTCATCTCCAAACTCTAATCTTTTCACCATACCCCCAGGAGAGCTACATTGAACTTGACTACACTATCTTTGATGTGCTCTCATCAGTTAGGTACCGAACAGGGTTTATTCTCCTGTTGAATCTGTAATGTGCACACCTCTCTCTAAATCTTCATCAGACTCCACATGTCCTAAATCTTTCCCCTAATCCCTACTCTCTTCTCTTACTTTCAAGGTAGAGCTCTATTATATGATGTCATATCATATATGATGATGCTCATGTACTTTTCTTTTCGTCTTAGAATAAGCCAGTATATCCTCTTTTCCCCCCAATCCTATGAAGGGAGTCATTGCTCTTTAATCTTTAAAAGTAATATAGCCCAGTGGATAAAAACATGATGTCTGGATGTCTACATTCATTTCTTGACCTCACCGCTTCCAGATGGTAATATTGGGTAAGTCATTTAGCCTCCCTGTGGTTCCATTTATTGATTATAAAATGAGGATGATAATAGTATTCAACTTATTAGACGATTAAGAGTGTACTGATGTGTGCAAATCACTGAGAACAGTGCCTGTAACAGAACAAGAACCACATAAGAGTTAGATCTTACTATTAATAAGCCTTCCCAGGGTCATTCCCATCATTCTCTTGAATCTTTATTTGGTCTTTTGCCTTTGGACTCCTCTTCTTTGTGTGAAGAAAGCTCAAACAAGAAAACAAAATGAAACACTTCCCCATCCTTTTTCTTAATGATGCTGTAAACCTAGTAATTTCAAGACTTGCTATTTCTTCAAGTGATCAATAACTATTATCTCCATTCCCGCTCCATATACTTTGAATCCCTTCTTTTTAAAAACATTTGTCTTTATGAACCTATTTTTCAAAGCATTCTTTTATTCACCTCAACCACTCTACTAAAATTGCTCTCTCAAGCATAAACTGCTTGTCAGCAAACTAAGCTGAATTTCTTCAGTCCTTTGTCTAACTTTTATCCCATGTAGCCTTTGACATACTTGACCATAAACCCTCGAATCTTTCTCCTTGCTCTGCTCTTGGGATAATAAATATGCTTCCACTCCCTGATTGCTCCTTTTTTTGTTTGTTTGTTTCCTTCATGGATGCTTTTCTTCCTCTACCTCCTCTCTCTAATTGCCTCGCTTCAGATAGTTACCCACTCACAGGCTACCATGATTACTCTTACTACTGATAATTCTCAAATGTACATTTCCAATTCTGCTTCTCTGAGATCCTGTTTTGTAACTTCAGCCGCTTGCTTGTCAGTTCCCCTAGGATGTCATATTGTCACTTCAAACTCATCATTTATTTTGCCTCAGACTAGTTCTGCTCTAGTTTCCCTACTTCTGTCATTGGTAGAACAATTCTCAGTGCCCAGCCTCCAAATTTCATTAATCTGTTATGCTTTTTCTTCATAGCTAGTCATTTACCAAGTTCAGTGGATTCTTTTGTTAAGTCTGTCATGTTGTATTCTCTCACTATTTTTTATTATCATTCTACTTTACTTAAACCAATCTGCTCATTTCCCTCCAGGCAAGCTTCAGGGATTTCTTACTGTTCAACCTACTCATGCATTCCCTCCCCCATATAAAATACTTTCCTGCTTTTTCTCCTTACTTATGTAAACTATTCACTCTTGTGCTTTATAACCTAGTCAAATTATCCCCCCTTCTCTGTGGTTTCCCCATGCATAAACGTTCAAAATAGTATTTTTCTCCTTTGAATTTCTATAATCCTTACCTGTGCCAAGGTGTCCATGCATATTATAGGTTATCTAATTTTTTAAATGTTTTTTATTAATTTATTTTTGTTACAGATGTTTCTCCTTTTTTTCCCCATTGACACCCTCCTCCCCATCCCTCCCACCCCATAACTGGCTTTGTTGTCCGTGTCCATCGGTTATGCGTACATGGATATAAGTTCTGTGGTTTATCTGTCCCCTCCCCCCCACCCCCTCTTCTGAGGGTTGTCAGTCTGCACCCTACTTCCACGTCTCTGGGTCTTCCCAATTCCCCAGACTGTTATGTTCATTATATTCCACAAATAAGTAAGATCATGTGATATTTGTCTTTCTCTGTTTGGCTTGTTTCGCTTAGGATAATACTTTCCAGGTCCCTCCATGTTGTCTCAAACGATAAGAGATCTTTCTCTCTTACAGCAGCATTAGTACTCCATTGTGTATACGTACCACAGCTTTGATATCCATTCGTCTACTGTTTGTTGGACACTTGGGCTGTTTCCAGATCTTAACTATTGCAAATAGTGCTGCTATAAAAATGGGGGTACATATATTTTTTCTGATTGGTGTTTCAGGCTTCTTAGGGTATATTCCTAGAAGTGGGATCACTGGATCAAATGGCAATTTAATTTTTAATTTTTTGAGGTAACACCATAGTGTTTTCCACAGTGGTTGCACCAGTCTGCATTCCCACCAGCAGTGTACTGGAGTCCCCTTTGCTCCACATACTCACCAACACTTGTTTTTTGATGATTTGTTGAAGGCAGCCATTCTGACAGGTATGAGGTGATACCTCATTGTTTTAATTTGCGTCTCTCTGATGATTAGTGATGTTGAGCATTTCTTCATATGTCTCTTGGCCATTTGTGTGTCCTATTTAGAGAGGTGTCTATTTAGGTCCTCTGCCCATTTTTTAATTGGGTTCTTTGTCTTCCTTTTGTTGAAGTATATGAGAACTCTATATATCTTGAAAATTAACCCATTATCTGATATATCTTTGGCAATTATGCTCTCCCATACAGTGGGTTGCCTTTCCATTTTGATGATTTTTTTTTTTTTTTTTTTGGTACATGCCTGTAGCGGGAACTGAATCCGGGACTCTCTGGTCCGCAGGCCAATGCCCTAACCACTGAGCAAACCGGCCAGGGCAGTTATCTCATATTTATATGTTGTCATTGTGTTAGTGTTTATCTAGGATGTAATATGCTGATGTGGTGTTTTCCACATTATAGGTGTAGCAATAAATATGTGTTAAATCCTAAAATGACTCAACTTCTTCAGTAAGAGTACAGGATTGTTGAATATTTGGAATTACTTCTGTTTTAAGCAGAAACTAAATCTGAGTCAATTTATGGGTTTATCTATCAGTACATTGAGTACAATTTCAGTCCATTGAGAATCTCCCTCTTCTGAGGGCTGCATCCAGTTTCCAGCAAGCTTATGGAGTGCTTTGATATGGGAG